AGAAAAAAGTTAACATTTTTACAAGTTATTTATTTATTTATAGGTACTAGGATTAAAACTCAGGGRTACTTTACCACTGAGCTACATCTCAGGCCTTTTTTTTTTTTTTTTCAATTTTGAGACAGGCTGTCACTAAAAGGTTAAGGGTATCACWAAGTTGCTGAGGCCGGCCTCAAACTCAGAATCCTTCTGCCTCAGCCTCCTGAATCACTGGGATTATAGGTGTGTGCTACCTGGCCCAGCATCAGCACTTTATTTTTCTGGATGACGGATGATTTTTATTATTATGTATAGAAAACACACCAGTGTACATTTATCCTAGTTTAGTGTCTAGTTCTTTAGCCTTTGCCTTTTCCAACTTGGCAATGCGAGCCACAGATTCTGGACCCAGGATGTTGCCTCTCCCCTGACGTCAGATCTCATCCCATCTGTCCTTGTAGTTGGTTCTGATAGCTTTCACCAGCTTTTCCGGAGCGCCCTTGTCTTCCAAGTTAATCTGTGTGAAGGCAACAGTGGTGCATGTCTTCCTGTGAGCCCCATGTCCCAGTCTGGCCTTCCCCTGGACGGTGCAGTCGGGGGCTCCCATCTTGCCACACACAGCAGGCAGGAAGACAGCAGCTGGGTGGGATCCACATCACGAGCAACCACCACCAGCTGAGCCCCCTTGTTCTCCACCAAGGTAGTGACAGCATTGAYCCCTGCTCCAAGGATGGCTGGTCTCTTAGTGGGGACATCCCCTTTGCCAGCAGCTTTTCTCTCTACCCATGCCAACAGCTTCTCCTGCTTAGTCTCTGGTCTCTCCTTGGGGCATAAGCAGCTGGGTAACTGGCCGGCCAAGGCCTAGGTGAACTCATTAGCTGCAGGAGGCACTTTTGGCCGCTTACAGAGTACAGCCCTTTGCTGCTKCATCTGGTTGCAGTGGGGCCATCTTACAAAGTGGGTAGGGTCCCTTTGGGGCTGGGTGTCCTGTCCAATGCTGAAGTTCTCAGGCCTTTTCTTAAACAGGGTTYGCCACCTTCTTGGCTTTCTATCTTAATGACAGCAGGGGCCGGGCTTGCCTGCTTCCCCTCCGCCTTCTTTCTTTTTAGCGTCTGGGGCAGCTGGAGGAGACAGCTGCATTTTATTGCTTAATGCTTAAACTTTTTACTCATCAGTGATTTCTTTTGGTGGATGGAGTAAGATAGGGCTTTAGCTTCCCTACCTTCCTTTTTCCGGAGTCAGCTAATTCTCTAGTGACTTTTTTGTTTGTTGCAGTTAATCTATTTTTCCCCCCTATTATTTAGAAATTCTGCTCACATTCTATGTTCTCAGATAAATTTGGGTCTTGGGTCTAATTCTGTATGTTATATTGTTTCATTGATCTGCCTGTTTTTTTTTTCTCTAGTACCAAATAGATTTAATAACCATAAAGAAGACTTAAAGTTCTCTCATTGGTATTCTCAGTAGATTTAAGAGGACCTGGAATCAAAAGGGAGTCGTCTTAAGAGCAGGGCAGATTGCTTTCGGATGCAAAACAGAATGACTAAATTATAGGTTATATTGGAGGCAGTGAACAAAGAGAGGTCTGCAGAAAAATCAACCCATGAATTAGAAGATGTGCTGGAGAATTCTGAGGAAAATAAGAGATGGAGATTGTGAGTCCAAATGATGTGAGACTTGAAAGACAGCTGCAGGAATAGAGGCGTGGATGAAGACAGACTCGGGGTGCAGGGGGAGAAGGGCACTAGGCACCACCCATCTGATTCTGGCTCCAGGCTGTACAATTGGCTCCGGCTGAGGTTCCTCAAGACTTTCGTGTGCTTCAGATCGGGCTCCAGGTTTCCCTTCCCTGGGCTCCCTCACCACGGCCTCTATCTCAAGGTACCCTGTTTTCTGGATTTCCAGAATACACTACCTTTTGTTCCCACCCCACCAAGGGACTCTTACTCCTTGGTCCACACTGACCAACTAGGTATCTCAGAGCCCTGCCTTAGCCCTTTTCACTCCCTCCCTGGAGACCTCACCTGAYCGTGTGCCTGCACGCACCACCCCATCCTGCACGACTCAGGGGTGCCCGATCCTCCTGCTTGGACACATCCACCCTCCCTTTGGCCAGTGCCATCTCATCAAAGACTTCTTTGTTTGGAGGTCACTTCCTTCAGAAAGCTCCCAGCTCCCCACCCAAACTCCTATTAGGTGTCCTTCGGTGAGCTACCGTAGCCCTGTCTTCCTTTGGTAGAAGGGGCTGCTCCCTTTGTCTCCCTCCTCCTAGACTGTGCACCCCAAGGGCAGGGTAGGGCCCATTTGCTGTTGAAGGCTGTGGAGCCCTCCAGAAGTACAACGTGTGGCCTGGCTAGGCACACAATAAATGTGTGTTGAAAGTGAAAATTGACGCATGCATATAAAGGGTACCTTTTGGATATGTACTAGTTATGGGTAATTGTCACTTAAAATGAAAAAAAAAAAAGAAAAAAACTTTCTCACTTTCCTTTCTCCCTTTTTATGCAATACATATTCACTCTGGGTTTTATGATCAGAATATTTTTCCTGGAATTATTTTCCTGGAAAAAATTTGTTTGGGGGTGGTGGTGGTGGTACTGGGAATGGAACCTAGGGGCACTTAACCACTGAGCTCCCAGCCCCTTTTATTTTTTTATTATGAGACAGGGTCTTGCTGAATTGCTTAGGGCTTGCTAAGTTGCTGAGGCTAGCCTTACTTGTGATCCTCCTGCCTCGGGCTTCTGAGTTGCTGGGATTACAGGTATGTGCTACCACACTTGGCCCTTTCTGGAAAAGTTTTTATATATTTAAAATTTAGAGACAGCAGTTGTGTCTCTAGGGTATGGCTTTTGGGTACACAGGTGGACTTGGAGTTTTCTGAGTGGAACTCAGCCCTCTGTTCCCTCCCTGGACTCTCATTCCTTTGCATTCATTCCCATAGTTGCCATAACAAATTACCAAAACTCAGAGGTTTAAAACAACACAGATTTATTATCTTAACAGTGGTGTGGGTCAGAGATCTCTCATGGTTCTCATGGGACTAAAATCAAGGTGTCAGCAGGGCGGGTTCCATCTGTTTCCATAAACAAGTGTTGAGCTCAGTTTAATGAAATGCGTGCTGAAGTGTTTAAGGGAAAGTGATTGATGTCAGTAATCTACTTTGAAGTGAATGAAAAATAACAAGGATTTGTAACTGAATTAAGGGATGTACAGATGAACAGATGTGTGATAGAGTAAGTTTAGTAAAAGATTAAGGATACAATAGTCTTGGCTTTCATGGTAATGTTTCTGCATCTTTAAACAAAACAAAACAAACAAACAAACAAACAAACTATATATATATATATATATATATATATATATATATATATATATATATATATATTAGATGTTGATGGACCTTTACCTTATTCATTTATTTTTATGTGGTGCTGAGAATCTAACTCAGTGCCTCACACATGCTAAGCAAGTGCTCTACCACTGAGCCACAACCCCAGCCCTGTTTCTTCATCTTTATGTTTGCAAATTCTTTCTCTTATTTCTTCTTCTTTATTTCTTTATTTATTTTTATTTTTTGGTACTGAGGATTGAACCCTGGTATACTATTGAGCTACATCCTCAGCCCTTTTACTTTTTTCGAGTCAGGATCTCACTAAATTGCTGAGGCTGGCCTCCAATTTGCGATCCTCCTGTCTCAGGCTCCTGAGTTGCTGGGATGACAGGTTGTGTGCCACCATACCAACCCTGAAAATTCACTTAATAAAATGTTTGAAAAAAATTACTAGTACCCAGATAGAGCCAGCCTTTCAATTGTTTCTATGCATCCATATAAATGCCAGTGGTTCTCAACTGGAGGTGATTTTGTCTGGAGACATTTTTGATTGTTATGACTGGGGTGATATAATGATTAGAGGCCAGGGATGCTGCTAAACATCCTCCAAAACTCAGGACAGCCCCCATGAACAAGAATGGTCTAGCCCTGGATGTTAATAGTGCCAAGAAAACTTGATGAATACCTACATATTTAAATGTATGTGTTTATACATATCAATGTGTATATTTCTAGCTTTTTCTTTTTGGTACTGGAAATTGAACCCAGGGGCACTTAACCACTGAGCTATATCTCCAGCCCTTTTAATTTTTAACTTTGAGCCACAATCTTTCTAAGTTGCTTAGGGCCTCCCTTAGTTGCTGAGGCTGGCCTTGATCTTGAGGTCCTCCTGCCTCAGCCTTCTGAGTTGCTGGGATTATAGGCATGTGCCACCAACCTTAGCTGTTTATGCATATTTTATATCTACATGTATTTAAAACAAATCAGACTCATAGCTTCATAACCCATGTTTTCATAATGTATTGCTCTTTTCCCAGGTAATGAAATCGCCCACATTTTAATGGCAATCACAGATCATATGCTGTAGTTGTTTGTGTCCAGCTCTCTTTGGGCATTTTTAGGTGGTTTCTCCATTCTCAGTGTGTTTGTCAGTTTTCCGTCACTATCACAAAATAACTGAGATAAGCAGCTTAAAAGGAGGAACCGTTTATTTTGGTTGGTGGTTTCCGTCCAGGCTTGCTTGACCCCTTCACTTTGGGCCTGTGGTAAATACAAAGATAATATAAAGTAAATACAAAGGTAAACACATTTCCAAGTAAGAATTTTTTGCTGTGTTGCTTGCCCAATGGCCAGTACTATGTGGGGACATTGTGGGTGGATAGAAACCACTGACAGAGAGGGACAAGGCTCATTGGTCATCCTTGGGACCAGCTTGGGTATCAGCATTCCTTGTGGCGGGGGCATTTATTCTTGGAGTATCCCAATTTCCTGAGGGTGTTTCTCTCAGTAGCCACTGCCAGCACAATGGCCTCTCAGCCGTCCTGGGTCAGCTTGGGGCACCCCAGGCTGTGGACCTGGGGGATGGTCTCCTTCGGCGTCTTCCTCCCCTTACCAGCTGCTGCCTGGGTTCTGCTGAATTTCCCAAGGACCAAAGCCAGCTTCAACCTCCGTCTTCTCCTTCCCGTCACAGGCTGCCCTTCGGATGAAAAGAGAAAGGAAGAATGGACTACAATCACCAAACGTCCCTCGTCCCCTGTGGACAAGATAAATACATTTCCAAGTAAGAATCCTTGCTGTGTTGCTTGCCCAGGGGCCAGGACTGTGTGGGGACATTGTGGGTGGATAGAAGCCACGGGCAGAGAGGCTTCCTCTGTGCCTCAGAGGGCCAGGGCTCTGGTGTGTGAAAGGGAGCCGAGCGGCTGGACTTGGACTTGTGGGGACAGCAGCAAGTGTGCAGCTTTAGATTGAAAAAAAAAAATCCCCCAAAGCCTAGCCTGGGAGGGAAGTAAAGGGGGAGCCAGACACAGCACCTTTGTGGTGTCCTGGAAGGCTTCCAGGAGGAGGAGAGGATGGTGTCTGCTTGCTGTGGCCTAGATGTCTGTGTTTGCCTCAAATTCATATGTTGAATCCTAATCTAAGTCGATGGTATGAAGAGGTGAGTGGAGATCTCATGAATGGAATTAGTGCCCTTAGAGAAAAGGCCTGAGAGAGCTTGTTTGCCCTTCATCCCTGTGAGGACACAGGAAGAAGGTACTACTATCTCTGAGGGGCAGGCCCTCGCCAGACTCTGAATCTGCTGGCACCTTGATCTGGGACTTTCTGCCCTCTAGAACTGTGAGACGTGAACTCCTATTGTTTATAAGCCACCCTGTCTCTAGTATTTTGTTATAGCAGCCCCCAACACACTAAGAAACTACTCACTGTTCTGTCTGTGATATTGCCTGAGGGAGTCCTGGCTTGGGTTGTGTGTTCCTGAGTTGCTCTGTTTCTGGCTAAAATTCGCACACCCTCTGAGTAGAAGGGGCAGGTTCCTTGTTTTCTATGTACTATAGGTGTCTTGCACTCAGATTTTTCTTTTCTTTCTTTCTCCCTCTCCCTCCCCTCCTACTCTCTTTCCAAAGGCCAAAACTGACTTTTTCCCACTACAAACTTGAGGATATATTTTTTTTGGCCTAGCCTGGAAATTTTACATACTGAATGTTCTCCGTCTTAAATAAGCCAACTTGAGTTTATCTGAGACTAAATTGTTTTAGACACACTTGGCCATACACAGATGCCTGTTGTGTGAGATCCAGAACATTCTTATCTCTTTATTGAAGGATTTCTCCAGGGACTTTCTGACTGGGTTTCAGATCTATGTGTTCAAAAGTACCAGACATTTTGTCTTAAGTTATTTGGAATCACTTTTTTTTAAATATATATTTTTTTAGTTGTTGATGGTCCTTTATTTTATTTGCTTATCTATATGTGGTGCTGGGGATCGAATGCAGTGCCTCATGTGTACAAGGCAAGCACTCTG